AAAAAAAAAAAAAGAAAGGTGAAAAAAAAAACAGCATACTACAGGGTGTGTCCAGCCACATCAATGTTTATAGTAGCAAAATTCACAATAGCTAGACTGTGGAACCAACCTAGATGCCCTTCAATGATGAATGGATTAAAAAAATGTGGTATATATACACAATGGAATATTAGCACTAAAAAATAACAAGATCATGGCATTTAAGGGAAATGGATGGCATTAGAGCAGATTATGCTAAGTGAAGTTAGCCAATCCCCAAAAAACAAATGCTGAATGTCTTCTCTGATATAAGGGGGTGGTGACTCAAAATTGGGAAGAGAGGAAGAGCATGGGAAGAAGATTATCACTAAATAGGGAAGAAAGATGGGAGGGAGAAGGGGAATTGCATAGAAGATGGAAGGAGACCCTCATCATTATACAGGATACATGTATGACGATGTGAGGAAAAAAAAGGGAGTGTGTCACATTAGATTGGGTAGAGAGAAGTGATGGGAGGGGAGGGAAGGGGAAAGGGGGAAAGGAAGGACAACAGAATAAAATAAACATTATTATTGCTGTGTGTATATACGTGACTGCATGACCAATGTGATTCTGCAACCTGTACACTCAGAAAAAGGAGAAAATATACCCCATCTGATTCAAATGTATGATATGTCAAGATCATTGTACTGTCATGTGTAACTAACTAAAACGAATAAAAAATATTCTAAAAAAGAATTAGTTCACTAGAATTGATGTGATTGCTGCAAGTTCTATATTTGAATCTTTAAATTTTATCATTCATTGTTAAATTCAGTTTTTGTTTCACAAACTGTAAAATGGAGGAAAGGGAATTTCTAATTTTTTTTCCTTCTACAGGTTATGATGATGGTTCTTCCATTATTGATATTTGTGCTTCTGCCCAAAGTGGTCAACACAAGTGATCCTGACATGAGACGGGTAAGGTGATTTTGTGTAAACACAGTTCTTGGTATTTAGTTAGTTGTTTTCACTGGACAATATAAATTCCAATGGTTTTGCCTGGTAAAAGCATAGCATATCTTTTAGCATAACTAAAATAATCTACTTAGTCTTAGCTGCTTTATGTGCCTTATCTGTTAGTAGTTGAAATGCACAATAATCCTGGTATACCTAATCCAAATATTTTGTAAAATTATTGCTYTTTTAATCTATCTTTACTTAATAAAAGTGTCTTCAGAGCACATACTCAGTTCTTGTGTTCAAACAAAACTCACGTAGACCAAGGGGGGATAAGTAGAATAGTGGCTTTTAAACTCCGTAACACAAAATCTTGCTACTTCTGTAAAGAGGAAAGAGTTTGCTAATGAGGATGCTTCAAATTTAATGTCACCACTTCATTTCTTCAAATATTGGATTCCATATAAAATCTTCATTGTTTCTTTACTTTCTTTTTTCTTTTTTTTTTTTTAGAGAGAGAGAGAAGTTTTTTAATATTTATTTTTTAGTATTCGGTGGACGTAACATCTTTGTTTGTATGTGGTGCTGAGGATCGAACCTGGGCCGCACGCATGCCAGGCGAGCGCGCTACCGCTTGAGCCACATCTCCAGCCCTTCATTGTTTCGTTAAATAGTTCCATTTTTGCATCTAACAACGACTCAAATACCTTCTGAGTACCAAGATTCTCTATTGTTTTTAGTAAACAAACAAACAAAAATAAAAACAATGTATCGATAACCTTATTCATTATTGAATTAGGTTCTGGATATGGGGATACAAAAATGAATTAAAGCCCATTTTTATTGTCAACAAGTCCATCTCTATCGTCAGCTAGTTCAGTTAAATGTAAGAAATAGAATGAATTTATAAAATATTCTCTAGCCATCAGGAGATTTTGTGGGTTTTTTCCCCTTTTTTAAATGGAAAAATAAGATAGACATAAAACGAATAAAACTATTTCCTAATGTTGTAGGTGATTAGGTTATATAAAAGGTAAGATATTCCCAGCTGGACTGGCAGAAAAACTTTTATGAAAAAAAAAGTTTGTGTTTCAAAATGTTTTATTGTTGAATTTGGCATCTTTGCCATATCCTGCAAAAGATAATATATCCTATCAAATCCTTGAATCTGTTGAGCTGATTAGCTGTTTGTGACATCAGTAGAAGGAAACACCAGTAGTCACATTTGATTATAATTGCACTCCTTATTGGGCCAGGGTTGTACCTCAGTGGTAGAGTGCTTGCCTAGCATATATGAGGCACTGGTTTCACTACATAAAAGAAAAATAAATAAAGGTATTGTGTCCATCTACAACTAAAAAAATTTAAAAAGTTCACTTTTTACAAAGTGCTTTTGTACAAAGTAGACACTATAGAAAGTGGTTGCTCCAAGAGTTTCAGAATTGAACAGATTCAAAAATGGAATGGATGATATATTTTTATAGGAACTCAAGACCTATTACCATATATATTTAATTTTTTTATTGTAAGGCATTTTAACATACTTTACTTATGTTTACAATTTTTCTTTTTTCTGACCTTAATTGTAAAAGCACCTTTTGCTGCAGTTTATCTTCCAAACATTCTTGATACCTTGATATATAGTTGAAGATTGATATTTTGGTTGTATGCATCTGAAGAAAACATTAGCCTAAAAATATGCATTAAAACAATATAAGGGCTAGGGCTGGGGCTCAGAAGTAGAGTGTTTGCCTTGCACGTGTGAGGCACTAGATTCAATCCTCAGCACCACATAAAACTAAATAAATAAATAAAAAGGCACTCTGTCCATCTACAACCACACACACACACAMAAAAAATATAAATAAACCAAACAATATGAAGCTAGGCATGGTGGTACATGTCTGTTATCCCATTGGCTTGGGAGGTTGAGGCAGGAAGATCATAATTTTGAGGTGAGCCTCAGAAACTTAGTGAGGCCCTAACTTATTGAGATCCTGTCTTCAAAATAAAAAATAGAAAGTGTTGGGCTGGCGATGTGGCTCAAGCGGTAGTGTGCTCGCCTGGCATGCGTGCGGCCAGGGTTCGATCCTCAGCACCACATACAAACAAAAGATGTTGTGTCCACCGATAACTAAAAAATAAATATTAAAAAAAATGTTTAAAAAAAAAAAAAGAAAGGAAGTGTTGTGGATATAGCTCAGCAGTTAATTGCCTCTGGGTTCAACCTCCAGTACCCAAAAATCAAATAAACAAAAATAAAAACAAAAACAAAAAATATGAAAACATATTAATCAGAAAACAAAATAAGAAAGAAATATGATCAAATATATCCATTGTCAGAAAAAAAGTCCTTTATTAAAACAGACTGAATCAAACAAACCCTAGGCAAATATTTATTTGACATTTGCCACAGATCATAATGTTTACTGGAGTAAAGGAGATATGGAACATGGTTACTAATATTATTTTTAAGACTTTAATTTTTTTTTTTTTTTTTTTTGATCTGCGGATCAAACCCAGGGCAACTGCTCTACTTCTGGGCTCCACTCCCAGTCTGATAAAATACGCTTGAGTATGACATTACATTGTTGCTCAAAAATATTGCTTTTTACTTGTTCTACTCCTTTCCTTCTTCCTTAATAGGAAGTATTAGAGTTAAATAACTTGAAAGATCCTAGTGCTCATCTTTCCCTCCATTACTACTGGAGATGGAACCCAGGGCTCTCCACTACTTCTATGTCCCCAATACTTTTTATTTGACACAGGGTCTTGCTAAGTTGCCAAAGCTGGCTTCAAACTTGAGATCCTCCTGCCTCTGCCTCCCCAGTAGCTTGGATTATAGGTGTGTGCCACCATACCCAGCTGCCAGTGTCCTTTTCATACCTTGTGCTTTTCTTCCCTGCAGGAAATGGAGCAGTCAATGAATATGCTGAATTCCAACCATGAATTGCCTGATGTATCTGAGTTCATGACAAGACTCTTCTCTTCAAAGTCATCTGGCAAATCTAGCAGTGGCAGCAGTAAAGCAGGCAAAAGTGGGGCTGGCAAAAGGAGGTAGTCAGGTCGTTCACAGCAGGCATTTGCACAAACATAGCAACACTGGGTGGCATCCAAGTCTTGAGGGAAAACCATGTGAAGCAACTACTGTACACTTGAGTCATCCTGAAAGTTGATCTCTTACAACTGTTGTATATGTTAACTTTTTAACAGGTGTTTTGTATTTGGTACACAAGAAAACCCAACTTTCATCCTTTGTCTGTATGAGGTCAATATTGATGTCACTGAATTAATTACAGTGTCCTATAGAAAATGACATTAATAAATTATATGAAGTACTATGCATTATGATATTAAAATAAGTCTTAATCCAGAGATCAAATTATCTTCTGTCATTTTTTTCACTTGTTGTTTCTTTTTCCTAACATTTTTTTTCTATCTTTTATTATCTGAGGCTTGAAATGAATTTTTCCATTTAAAAAGAAGTGGTTTGTTACCCTTACAGTAGCACGTGCTATGGTTTTTTGTGTAGCTGAAACCTTTAAAAATTCTCAGCTTCCAGGCTGGGGTTTTGATTCAGTGGTAGAGCACTTGCCTGGCATGTGTGAAACAATGGGTTCAATTCTCAGCATCACATATAAATGATAAAATAAAGGTCCATCGACAACTTAAAAAAAAATTCTCAGCTTCCGTGTCTTGCCATTTCATATTCCCTTTTATGTGAGGTGGAAACTGTTTCTTATGTAGCTGTAGTTTTTATTATTATAATTAGCTCCATAGTATGGATATATTAGTCGAGTTTAATCATTTTTAATCAGAATAGAGCTTAATCATTTTTAAAATTCTGGTTACCATCTATTGTACTCATTTTTAAATTTTTTTTCCTTTTTTATAGTTGTAGATGGACTGAATGCTTTTTTTTTTTTTTTTTTTAATGTGGTGCTGAGGATTGAACCCAGTGCCTTGCGCATGCTAGGCAAGTACTCTGCTGCTGAGCTACAGCCCCAGCCCTAAAATTCTGGTTTGCTGCAGGCTGCCTGGCCGGCCGTGTGGGCTCTCCCGAGCTCCGCTCCTGCCGCTGCTGTCGCCCAGCACGCCTGCTGCCTTCCTGCTGGGCGCCTTCCTGCTGGGATGTCAGTGCACGCTGGCTTGCAATCTTGCAAACCGGTTGGGCACAAAAACACAAGCCAGTCAAACTGAAACAAAGTTTTATTTTGTGAGAGGCCGTGTGCGTCCCCTAACAAGCTGGTCCACACACGTGTGTTCTACCTGAGCCGGGGGGGCCCCACTTCCCCCGGAACACCCTCCTACCATCCTTTCTCAACCAATGGGAACTCTCCCATTACAAGAGTGACATGAGTAACCTGAGTCCCGAAACGGGCCCAGGTAAACAGCAGGAGTCCAATTACCATATGAATGTAACTTAACATAATCATAATCTCAATGGCTGGCTGGCAGTCACTAAGCCCAAAGGTGCCTGTATCAATATTTTTGCTGTGGCTCCTAGCACTGGTTACCATTTATTATATTCATTTTACAATTATTTTGAACCAACTGTGTGCTGTGATCCAGAATAGAATGCAGAGATGGGTATTATCCAATCGCCTGTCTCAATAGAACTTATTATGGGAGGACAAATAATAACTAATGAATACCCAGGGGATAATGAATACCCAGGGGAAAGAAGTGCAGCAGTAGGAAAGCCTTCCAGAGTCTAAGAACAGAAAAATCAAACTTATAATATTGGTGGCATAGCACATCATTGATTCTTAGAACTTTTGCAGTATAAATTTACTTTCTAATTAGCAATATCACTTTTTATTTCAATAAGTTGTGAAAAATTTACACCTTTTCCTCTTAGGTTATTTTAATTAAAGAGAAGTGTTGCTTCTAGTAAAGGGTTTCTTTTTTCTCCTGTGTTAACACCTCTATTGCTTTCTTAAGGTTATTAAATCAGAAAACAGAACAAAAAAATTGTTGCTTAAAAACTCTATTTTCGGGCTGCAGTTGTGGCTCAGTAGTACTGTGCTTGCCTAGCATGCAGGAGGCACTAGGTTCGATCCCCAGCACCATGTAAAAAATAAGTAAATAAAATAAAGGTATTGTGTCCATCTACAACTAAAAAATGTTTTTTAAAAAGCTTTATTTTCTCTTTTGTATTAGGTGCCAATTGTTCATTTTGAAATGAGGTTCATAAGTTTCTTTTAAAGAAATAGATTCTGGGGGCTGGGAATATAGCTCAGTGGTCAAGCACATGCTTAGCATATAGGAGCCCCTGAGTTTAATTCCCAGCCTTCCCCCAATTTTTTTTTTAAGTTCTAATGCAGGACATTTTATTAAGTATCTTTATTTGTATTATTTACCTTAAGGTTACCAAACTGGCTGAGCTTTGAATGATTAGGGTTAGCTGGTTAATGGTAGAACTAAGGTCTTTTAAAATAGAGTTATCTATTGAAAATGAATGTAAGAACCCTAGCTGAAACAGTAAGTAAAAGAATATGACATTCTTCATTGTGATTCAAAGGAAACAGAACATAGTAAGTCTTAGTTGTATGACCAGAAATCCTTTTTAAAATTTTCATAATTTGGATTGTCGAAATTTGCACTCCCAAGTGCAAATTTCACATACCATTTCACATGCCAGCCAAGAAACTGTGTAGTTATTTTATATAGATTCTAACAGCATCTGAATATAATATGTGCCCCTTATCATATTATAAAAATGTTATTATGTCAATTGTATATGGAGATCTTTTCATAGAAGCGTCATCAAATGCTTAGGGTATTTACCGGTATAGAAATGATTGCATATTATTAGGCAATATGGGAGGATTTAGTGCAAAGAGCTGCTCTTTAGCTACTGACTTGTTTTGTGACTTTGAGCAAGTCACTTTCTCTCCTTAGACCATGTTTTGTTCTTTTTGTGTCTCCAGCATGAAGTATGTAGGTGCAACAATATTTGTTGAATGAGTAAATAAAAGGTCTCCTCAGTATAAATTGGAATAAAGTTTTTGTTTTTGTTTTCCTCTTTAGCGCTTTGGTTGGATTCAGTTTACATGTACCTCCTTTTAAATGTGAGTTATGTTTTTTATAATTGTTTTCACATTTACTAAAAGAAATCTGAATAGTGCAAAACAAATCCTTGCTGTCCACCCACTCTCTCCAGGGTGACTTCTCAAAGGTGGATCCACTGTTGCCAGGTTTCATACAGTTTTTTAGGGCTTGAAACCTGAGGATTCATTCTAGATGTGATTAGCATTTTGACAAGATTCAGGATTTTAGGTGGGTGTGGTGAGGCACACTTGTGATCCCAGCAACTTGAGAGACTGAGGCAGGAGGATACTAATTCAAAGCCGCCTTAGCAATTTAGGGAGGCCATAAGTAACTTAGTGAGATCCTGTCTCAAAAATTTAAAGAAAAGGTTATAGATGTGACTCAGTGGTTAAGCTCCCCTGGGTTCAACCAAAAGAAAAAAAGGAAAGATTTTACCTAACCTGCTCAGAGCAGTATCTTATCATTTTTCCCTTATGTTTCCTCTGATAGGAGGCAAGAAGCAACCACATAGCCGTTGTACTTTTTGGTAGCTAAAGGGTTTCAAGGACTTGATGAAGGATATCAATAAAGATAAAGGAGAACTTTTAAATTATGTAGTCATTTAGACTTTCAGGAAGTTTGTGTGTGTGTGTGTGTATGACAAGCATGTATTCAAAAGTTCTTAATTGTTCAAAAAAACATTGTTTTTAAAATTTCAAATACTATTAAGAAAAATTGAAACAACCATTTTCATTTTTGTTAATTGGCTTTCAGGTCATATATAGGTCATATACTTTTGCTTGGTTGCAACCACTTATGTACAATTTTGTATTGAAATTCTGCTAAGCATTCATTTTTAGGGAATACAATCAATGGTAGCTAGTGGCTGAGCACTTTAATTCAATTTAAGGGGTATGTTGAGTGAGGACCTAGTTGTACTTTGCTCTTCTGCATTTTAGGTGTGATTATTTTCATTATTTAGTTCATTTATTTAACTTGTGAGATATGTGAGAATATTCATTTGGTTAAAATGTTTATATTCAGGAGATTTTGAAAAGTAGCTTTTGTAAATTCAGATGTTGCCTATAAATTATGGGKTTTTTTTTATATTCTTAGAAAAAAGGATGATGAGGCATTTAAAAAAAAGGCATTTTAGAAAAAAAATCCCCCAAAATAGAATTAAATGCTAACATAATCTCTTACCACTGTATACAATAGCCCAACTTTATAATGGGACAGGAGAAATGAAGCTTTCCATGGTGGCTTCTGCCTACTAGGATGAGTCAGCCAGGCAGGCAAGTCTGAGAAGAGAAAGGAGTAAATTAAGAAGTTCAAGTAAGGGGCTGGGGTTGTGGCTCAGTGGTAGAAAGCTTGCATGAGGCACTGGGTTCGATCCTCAGCACCACATAAAAATAAATAAGATAAAGATATTGTGTCCATGTACAACTAAAAAAATATTTAAACAAAAAAAAAAGAAGTTCAAGTAATACGAAGAATGAGTAGAGGCATCAAAACTAGCTATGAACAACATTTCCAATACAAAACAAGTTGACAATGCATTTAATTCCACAGAAATTTAATAAATTTGTAATTTTTGAAGATGTGTATCTGCACCTCTTTAGGTAATTCGGAAAGTAATTTTCCATATAAATAATTTATTCCATTTCCTTTAAATTTTTTAAATATTTAATTGACAAATAGAATATGATCAAGGTGTACAATGTGATGGTTTTATACATGTACATTGTGTATTGACAGCCACAACCAAATTAACACATCCATTACTACCCATGCTGTATATTAGATCTCCAGGATTTATTCATCTTATAAATGAAAGTTTTTATCCTTTGATAAAACATCTTCCCATTTCTCCCACAGCTCAGCTCCTGGCAACCACAATTTCTCTGTTTTTATAGTTCAGCTTTTATTTTTCAGATTCTGTGTGAGGCCTTACATATAAATCCTTAATAAGTTTATAATTATTAGTATTCTTATTTTTCAGAGGAGGAAACAGAGGTTACACAATTTTCCAAGCTCACAAGTGGGTCTTAATCTAAAGCAAACCATTACTACTTCCTATAACTCAAAAATTAAAAACTAAGCATTCATGTGCCCATAATCAACTCATAGCCACACATCTCTTCCAACCTGCTCACCTTGCTCCTTCCTCTCTTTCCAAACACTTCTTAGAAAGAAGGGGTGGTATAGTCAAGAGAAAATTACTTTTGTGAGAAAATAGTTTTAGTCTTAGTTTCTAGTGCCTGGAGCTTCAGAATTTATAATCCTAAAGATGTTTCTAAAAGGTAAATTTGATGGGGTCACTCATCTATTAAAACCCTTTGTTAATTT